GACAGCTTTTCACTGAGCTCCACCACACTAACACAGCATGATTTACAGACATGTTGCTGGGTCTCAACTGTGGGGAACCCCATATTCTGCACAGAACATAAACACCCACATTTCTGAACAACCCTGAATCAAAGGCAGAGTCAGGGTGGGCTGACTGATGTGTTGTACTGATGCGTGAATGCGGGTGGTCAACCAGGAGGGTGAAACCAGTCCTGGACCATGTGATCCATTAATAAGAACCAGTCTCACTGTGCCACAGTGAAACTGGTTCTGCACTGTCTTCGGTTACATGAAAGGATCAACCCACAATCACTTTAACCTCAATCCAATAATTATAATTATTGGAAATTGAGACTTCACATAGCTTGTAAGATGTTGTGTCTACAGACTACTGCTTTCATGAAAGTCACATTATTTGGTTTATACATGGTGTCACAGCCATTTAACTCAGGCTTGATTGCATTTTACACGATGTGAACTCAATATGCAGATACCAAGGAACACTAAAGAACTTAACCATTACCTGTGCTTTGAGTCACTTGTTGGAAATGTGCTTTATATAAACCTTTCTTGCATTGTCTTGTCTAGTGGCCAGATTGACGTCAGTGAAAATCTTTCTGTTGAAAAGAACAAAGAAAAGAAAAAACGACTATGGTCACCGGTGAAAAGACATTTCAAATTGGTTGAAAAGTGTTGTTTCACCAACTATTTGAAGATGATGATTGAATGTTTGCATTTAGACCATATTTCACTGGGATTTGCATTAGTGAAATCTTTCATCCTCTACAATGTACAAATAATAGGCTATTGTCACTTTGGACCATAAAACCAAATCCAAATTTCTCAGCCAGTATAAATACAAACTTGCCTCACAGAGGACTCAAACCACAGTCTCCAGTGGGTATTTTTTGTGATTAACCCACTCATCCAGCCCATTTTCTTGCCAAAATGTTTTCACTTCTTTCACTACTTTAACTTACTACCTAAGGCCCTTTTGCCTGAGAGTGCCACAAAGCACAACATATTAATTTTTATTAATGTACAGAATTTCTCAAATTTAAATGTGCTGCTTCTTGTTGGCAGCACACATAGCCTAGTTCTGTAATTATTACATTTTACATTTTACATTAAATGCGTTGAAATTACATCTTCGTCACATTTCACCTACCAGTGCAAGGTACATCCTTTCACCAGTGACCATTATCATTGCCATCATTTCTTATCTTTTCAACTGAAAACTGTTCAATGGGACTGATCAATATCATCTCTACAACTAAAAACCTAAAATTGTGTTTGTGACACCTTGATGTTTTAACTAATAATAATAATAATTTTAGGTTGAATAGAGGGTGGAATATCTTCATGTTTTCAACTTGAAAACTCAGTTAGTGCTTACTGGGACTTGACTTGGACAGCCAAGTGTGCTATGAATATCAAGTAAAACACTTTTGTCTTAAAATCTTTTTTTTTTTTTTGGAGCATCAGATATAATAATAATAATCATGCATGAAATACAAAGTTGGGGGAGAGGGTCACTAAAAATCAGTATAAACCCACTGATAATCATAATTACCCTTTTGTTGTGAGATTTATCACAAAAGAGCTAACATGAACTTCACAGACATGTTACTATAGCAGTTAAGTAGAGTTGTGTTTTCCATGTTAATGAAAAGAGTCCATTTGTTTGTGTTTAACAGATGGATGTATGTCCAATCTTCACTTGGCTTTTAGCTCTTTTTGGTCTCCACAAACTCTCAATATCTGATGCTCCACCATATTCTTTTTTTACATAGTCATTTCATCCATCATTAACATACACTATATTGACTAGAGAAGCTTTAACTAAGATAAAGCAAGGAAGAGTAAAAGCAAATCAGTTTTATTATTTATGCAATAAACTACACTCTCTCTAGTCTAACTTAGACTTTGACCAGGTTTTAACTTTATTTATGCTAAACATTCAGTCATGTAAGCCAAAGATTGAGACTGTGGCGCCTGGCAGATGACCTGGCCTCACATCACTGTCTCTGTGAGCTTTAACATTACTATTATTCCACTGGAGAAGATCGTTTCCAGTTATGATTCACCTGCAAGTGATGCCAGAGTTATCAAGTCTGGCGTCAAGGGAGTCTACCTGCCACGATATGTCTTTAATCTTCTCTCAAAACAGACTGCATATCAGCAGTGCTTTGCTTTCTCCATTGTAAGGTGAACTGATATTGATGCATTCTCAGATATTATTTCACAGATGGTTTGGATTTTTCAACATCTGCGACTATGCAACGATTGTGTCGTCAGAGCATTAACGCTGCAAAATAGTGGTCAAAATGTGATTACTGTGCGGAGGCTGAGGTGATGATAGCATGTCAGAATACAAGATAATCCCACGGTAAACTCTTTCCAACTGTGCGAGCCAAGAAAACAATCACAGATCTTGGCCCAGGTGCTCTTCTCTGTATTTCAGCGAATCCAAGCTGTGAAGAAACAGAGCCTGTTTCCTCTTTCTTTTTTCATTTTTGACACTAATTGGTGACATCCTCAAAGCTCTTTGTTGATCTGCAGAGTTGAAAAAAGTGACAGAGCAACAGGGGCGTAGTCGAACCATCATCCGTGTCGCCACATGCATAACGTTTATCTAAGGCACCAGAAGCTTCCCTGTCCAAAACATTCACATCACCTTCCCCTCCATCGGAATACTTCATCATCTGTTGCTCAGGCCTGTCACATCTCATCTGCTGTAGTTCCTCTGGACATCTCCACACTTATCAGCACCAGAGCATCAACATGCTGCTTTCTGTCCTCCAGAGTTTCAGCAATATGTCATTTTAAGTGTCTCCTTTTTTCTGCTTGCATTTGTTAAAGTGATGAATGTGTTTGAATTACCTTGGATACTTCAAACCAGCCCCATCCCTCTTTGCTTTGGTCCTCTGGTTCACTTTGAGCCACTTTCACCCTCTCTTCAGGGACTTTTACAGCTGTTTAATCAGCAGCATTGAAGTCAGACAAAATCCAGCTGGGCATCACCCGGCATTTACGGAATGAATAAAAATGGAATCAAGTTTTTGCTGTGAGGCATTGTTTTTGTTTTTCTTGCTTATTTGAACATAATCTTTCATTTATCCCACAAAACACGTTAATGAAATCTTCACCATGGCAGTTGAAATTTATTTTCTGCAGTCTCACTCTTTTCTCTTAAATTTTATGCCCAGCAGGTATTTTTTCCTCTGAAAATTGATGATTAAAAGTGTTGTGTGTTCTGTGAAAAGCAACTGTCTGTTGGCAGTCTTTTAAGGTAAATCTTTGTGCACTCGGGTGACAAAGGTGGCTAAAATAGTATCACCTCTAAGCATCTACAGTTACATCAAACAAGTCCAATACTTCCTCCCACTCCCCAGTTCAGTTGGTTGTCCATTGTCTTCAACAAAAGAACTTGACACTTTGAATTGGAGCCTGTGATGGATCGCTTTTGAGGTCAGAAGCCTTTACCGGTATACTGGTTTCATCCGAGCCGAGGTTCCAGGCTTGAATAGATAGTCCCAACTTGTATGAAGACTAAAGCATTATTAGGCGTAGAGTCATAGAGCAATTGTGGGAAAAAGGGTTTGATGACTGGCTGCTTATTTTTTGACATTGATAAGATGACTTTTGTGCTTGATTTACATGCACTGTGGTTTCTATGTGTGCATCATATTTTCCATTTCATGGGGTTAATGCAGAGGAGAGGATGATTTGATGGATGATTCTGCTTATAATAGCAGCAAAACTTGAAATAGCACTGTGGAGTTTTTTTAGAGGTGTTGATTAAAAAATGCCTGGCCACCCCAGTTTTGTATAAAATGCTGTCAAATTTAACACACTCATTTAAAAAATAACATGTTAAAAATGGAAATTCATTTAATGATGTGGCCACATTTTGGTCTAACTGATAAGTCGATGAAAAAATAAATGTAAAAACTATTTATTGATTTCTAATGCCACCTTTAGCTGTTTCTATTCAATGCTTCTCTAACGTGCCACAATAATGTAATGGCTTTTGAGTTAAAATACCTTAATTTGGGGACTTTTCCAGGCAAATATTGATATTTGTGATTCTTTGCAATTAAATCAGCATATATTTCTGTCACCATTAAGTCTCCTTGCCATCCTCTTTCCACCCATGAGTACTTCTCTACATCTGCCCCTGAGTAAAAATAATACATAAAAAGTTGCAGTTTAAAAACTGATAATATCACAAAAATGTATTATCTCCAGACAGAACTCATGTCTCTGTACTAAATGCTTTATTCTTCCAAAATCATAGGCTTTACCTGCCTGAAACTGAAAGAGTTCATTGTACTTCCACATGTATTATCTAACCAACATGAATATAACTTATCCCGATACAAGGCTCTAAGAATCAAACAAAGGAGCCTCTATAATACTTATATCACTAACTTTATCACCATTGGCATTCCTTACATCATGAGGGATGCCTTTCCCACAGTGGGAAAACAATGGTTATCAGATTTTTAAAAGTTATTCCGGAATGCTGGTTAAATGGACCCTGAACCGCCCCCTGCTTATTTACATTTCATATTAGAAAGGACATAATTTCAGTGAAAGACCTAAATGTACATAATGAGGCGTTTGGCTTTTCAGATGGGCATTTGTACACGTACAGGTAACAATTTCCTACAAACACAAATTCATTCATGTGCTTATGGAAAATGTTTCACGTTACCTACAAATCCTTTTTAAAGCAGCCTGACTCTGACTTTTTTTTTTCCATTTCCTACCGCCTAGCAGTAAAAAGGGTCAAGCGACCAGTTAAAATACACAGTGTATAATTTTATAGCTTTCTCCCAACGGGGCTCCTGGTGCCTGTGTCGAGACGACAATGCGCAAGCAGCAGTGCCGCACACAGATCAGTTTCATTCTTTGTCAGTGGTGAATAGGGGCGGAGGAAGCAAACTCATTAGAATCCTATAAAAAGAAAGTATCCGAGATCATAAAACACCCGGCTGCAGGACTAAGTGCTCACTCACAGCCAGACAGAGACAGAGTGGAAACCTCTTGTCAAGTTTCTTTCTGACCCTCAGAGCATCAGCATTTTAACAGATTCACTTCTTCATTGTTTCCCTTCCACACTGGGCTCTCTGTGTTTTTCAGATAAGTGTGTCGATGGCAGTCATTCTTCTGAATATCTGATTTTCAGGAACAAATACTTGGCTTCATCACTACTCTATGTGTTGCACTCGGGCAAGCGTGACGCATGGACAGTGACAGGGCGCACACTCCTCATTGAGAAACTTCACTTTTGCGCCACAAAGTTAGGGTTATTGAAGTGATTCAGATTTTTTTTTTCCTTTTTGGTAGGCCTATTTCAGTATATTTTTTTTTCAAGGATGCTCGTCTTAACTTGGAATAGATGCTGTGCTGTGATGTTTCTCGTCGCTATACTGAAGACGGGGACATCCCAGGTATCAGAGGCGCGCCCAAAGGCGAACTCCATCAAGCCAGCTCTGTCGGAAGAGACACCTACACCCGCTACAGACCGCTCAGTCACAGTCCACAGCGGGATCACCAAGAAATATAACATCCTTGCGCAGGTAATTTAATTTACTGAATTGTCTAAGGATTTATAAATTGATAGCCCTACATTTACGCACAGCCTGAAATTGGATAAAGAGCGGGTGGAATCATTTATTATTAGTTGTGATAAAAACTTGACTAGATCCCCAAAGTCGTGTTAACTTTTTTTATTTTAATAAGCATGATAATAAAGAACAGTTTAAAATTTTAATTCAATTAAGAGTGTGCCGTTAATACAGATTAGCGTGCGTAATGGTGCTGTACGTCTCCAAAACCCTCCACGGAGTATATTGAGGTGTACAAGTAAAATAGCCGAATGCTTTAAAAAAGGCTCACTCACGTGTGAATCGTTATTGGAAATTGCAGGGATTGGACCCCTTATAAACCCTAATTGCCTTTTAGACCTGACGCCACAGTCGAGTGCAGCGCACTTCCACAGTAAATCATTAATGCCAGAAATGTGAGAAAAAGTTAACACTTGGGGTAATTTTCTGTCTGGGTCTTAGTGTCATTAAAGTGGTCCAGACGCTTGCTGGGATTATGAGATTCTTACTGTGGGGCCTCTGAGGGATACTCTTACCAACCACTTAATACCCACTCAAAGAGTTATCAATTCCTGCTGTTTCAACAAAGTGCCATATTTCTGTAGTTTGACTGCAAACTCGGGATCAAAAAAGATTTGGCAGGTTTCATTCTTGCAAACATAAGAAGTTGTGAACATTATGAGCATTTTTTTATCAAGTGAGGAATTAGAGCTACATTTATATATTGGCTGGGGAAGCAAAGTTATCCAAATAATTTCTCATAAGAGGATATTTTAATATATTTGTCAGTCAGTTCTGAATTGGGTTTGGAAAATTGATATTAGGGTGGGAAAAAAAACACATATCAGACATATCACTCAAACAAAAAACTGTCCAACAGACCAAGTCCAACAGACCTAGAAATGTTGGTGTGCTGTAAAAGACCACCACTACTAACTAAGTTTTAATCAAACATCTGATTCTGAGTGGGATCATGTTGAGCTTAGAGTTATTCTTGACAACCTCTCAGTATCTTTTTGAGCAGCAGATGGCACTGCCACATCTACATCAGGTCCCCCACAGCAGACAGTCTGTACATCAGCTCACTGAAGCAGTTAAATACTCTTGTGTTTCCTTTTTAAGCAGTTTTTTGCCTGATGGTCTCATCCTCTAATGCTAGCTGAAGTTTACTTATGGTCTGTTCAGCTGTCTGTAATATCACTTGTATTAGTGATAGTGTTGGTTATTGTTGAAGCCCGTAGTGCTGAGAGCAGCGCTCTGACATCCAGCTCAGACAGAAGAAATTATGGAAAAGCCACTTTCTCTCCTCTGTGGAGTGTGGAGATCTAACCTCAAGCAACCCTGCCAGACCTCAATTTGAACGCCTGCTTACATCTTTGCCGCTGCAATAATCGGGAGTGGTTTGGAAGAGTGGACTGAGGGGAAACAATATGTGTGTGCAGAGACCACCATACTATTACAAAAGTAAAATGTCATGGTGTAGGGTGTCCAAATGAAGATGGCTAATAGCATTTATGGCAGGATGGGGTATATAAATTTATATACATATGTGTGTATGTTCTGGCTAGGGGTTTTCCAAAGCTGTAAAGTAACAGCCGCAGCTCAGCCTTGGCCAAATATGTGGCTCGACGCTGGCAAGCAAACTGCGCTGACCTTCTGCATCTCATCATACAGCGGTCATTTATGAGCGAGATAAATCAAAGTCCGATCCCTTCATGAGGCTGTAATGGTAAAGTGTGGCGAGTGATCATAAGGAGCATACAACTGCAATTACTTGACTTTAGATTTATACAATTATGATAAATGCCTTAAAACAGGTTGTATATGACAAAACAGCACCTTACTGAGTCATTTTCTTTCTGAAGTGGTTCACAGTAGGCACCCCAAAATATTTTTATTGTCGTCTGCATTTGTGAAGTGAATTACAGCTGATGAAGGCTTGGGTGTAAGTTTGGAAAATGAGCGTGCATCAACTCAGATTTCTCTTCTGGCATCTGCATTATGGGAAACCTTAGTGCCGATATCCTACAAGCAGATTTATGGTCAAGTCGTCATGCTGCTGAGTTTGTTACAATTGGTGAGCAACACTTGGCAGATTTTCACACCTCTGGAGAATTCCCAGCCGGTTCGGGATGTGAGCAATTGTGAGCTTGCCACTTATGTGACGGAGAATCTCAATAATTCACCACCATTGGCTATTTTCTCAGCCAGCAGTCAACACAAGAATAGACAAGATTTTTACACAGTGTGAGGTAGATTTTTTGGGGCCTGAAAATATCTTAGAGTTAAAGCAAATTCAGAAAATTACAAGAAATTTCCCCCAAAATTGCCCTTATTGGTTTACTTTCAAATGTAGCTAATTATTGAGGGAGAGAGTTCAGTTACCCCGTGGAGACGAGGCGCTGCAGCAGGAAACAAGGGTGTAATTTGGTGTTTTATCCATCAGATTATAAACGCTGCTCTAAGCCTTTGGTTTTAGGAAGCATTTGACAGCTTAATGTGCTTTTATATCCTGTAGCTGCTGACAGCGTTTGGCGATAAGGGTTACATTAATCACACACAAACCAGGGTCAGGTTCTGGCTATCCCTTGGCATTGAGTCGTGGCGAACTGCTGAGTGTTTGTTTCACCCTTTTCACATCAGCCTGACTGGAGTCAAACCGACAAAACCAAAATGTACGCCTCTTAGACCTTGACAGCCGGTGCTCGTGGGTGGCACTATTGGCTCCTTGGAGGGGAACCAACAGAAATGGATAGCATGGGCAGGCAGTGCTCACCACTGTAACCTCTGATCCCACAAGGGAACCGACAGCGTGGCGGCATTCATGCAATACTTGTCTGTAAAGCATCAGCAGCCGGTCAGTCTTAACTAGTTGCTTTATTTAATTCAAGACAGAGATTACTTTAACAAGCGATCTCTGAGGGCTCTGCCTATAAAAGTTGAGCCACGTCCTTTCTCTCTCTCTCTCTCTCCTTTAACCTAAAATGACTGTTTAAGTGATCCTAATGAGCTGAGAAAGAGAGAGAAAAGGCAGGGAGAGGTGTGAGTGCTTGTTAGTGCTCTGCTCAGTTTGTGCTTCAGTCTCCTGTCCTGTGGCCTTTCCAGTCTGTGGGTCCCTTGGGCGCTGTGAGGGCCCCGCGCCGGAGCCATTAAGGGCCTCCTCTGGAAACCTCCTTTACTGTAATTGGACCTGTGAATCAGAGAGGAGACCCATGCACCTCTCATTCCACAGGATTACACCTTTCAGAGCGGCACACCTCTTCGATTACCATCAAGAGCTTTTCCCCTTTACTTTGATAGTCTTTGAAGAGAGCAGTCACGTACGCTGACTGCGCGCCTCTCTTCGTGTCCGATGAATAAGATCAACTCAGAATGTATACTTAACTTAAGGAGGGTCTAGTTTTGGAGACTTTGGATTCTAGCACTCAAAGGGACATGCCCATAAAACATGTGTTTTGAGTGATGAAAGATGCTGAGCTGCGTTTGAAGACATGGTTAGTACGAGTGACTTGTGCCGTCCCTATGTTATCTGATAGCGGCTGTCTGTGCTTTCAGGGCATATGAAGTTTGTTTATTCAGTGACATTGTTTATTTGACTCTGTAAGTCCCTCGCCACTTATTAACACCATTCACAGTTTCAGGTTACGTGCCAGATCTCTGAAGGTCAAGTGCAATCACGACACTGAGCCCAAAAAGCATGGATGTGTACTTTAAGTGTGTTAAGAAGTCCTTTATTTTATTTTGTGCTTTTTTGTGGATATTTGTGCTTTTGTCTCAGACCAAAACAACGGAGGTACTGTGTGTATGAACTGCTCTTATTACTCTGGTAGTGCAGTTTTTCTGTGAAAGG